AATGTCTTAAAAAATAAAATATATATATATATATATATATATCAACCTAATTGTTAAAAAAAATATATCAATATAATCTACGTACTTCATTATTGATTACTCAAAAAAAAAAAATTTTAAAAAAAGAGCTTCTCCATGTTTCACTAACATATTATCAAAAAAAAAAAAAAAAAAAAAAAAAAAAGAGCTTTTTCATGTTTCACTGACATATTATAACTTTATGAAGAAGTTTGTGTTGACCTTTTAAAGTATCTTGAGAGAGCAATGGATCTAAATCCCAATTGTTTTAATTAATTGTTAGATAGCTCATTCTAGTTGTGATGGCCAGACCAAACTTAGTAAAATTCAGCATAGAATAAAAGTGGTTCGCTCATTTGTGCATTCATAATGCTAATATAGTTTATGATTATCATTATTTGATACTATTATTCAATCTAAAGGGCTATTAATTCAACATGCATTAGCTCAATTACTCATCAAACCTAACTTTCGTAATGAAGTAAACCATAGCAAAATCAATTTATTAATAAAATACAATAAAGACGTGACAATATTGAATGATTAAAGGCTTTGAAATAGCCCAATACTTATAAGAAAGCCAAGTTCGATGTTTAGTCTAATTGACTCAACTTTGAAGTCTCATTTAGCTTAATTACCTCCAAATAAGGTGAGTCTGAAACTTAATTAAGTGAGCTACTTGATTAAAATCAATCCCAATTTATACAAACAAGTGTTCAATTGGTTGGTAATGCTATTATATATATTTACTTAAAGCATAAAATTTATATTTATCTTCCATAGGTATAAGTCTTGGTTTATTAGTTGGTCGTGAAATTAAACCTTCTTTGAACCTAAATTCGACTTCGATTGCAAGAAAATTTATTTGGTTACTCTAATAAGACGTTTAACAAAGTCAAGCATATAATTTTAAAGTTAAGCCTAAAACCTAATGAATTCAAAACTCTTTTAATTATTTATATATTTATAGTCCTGAATTTGAGTACAAGTCACTCACTACGTTTAATTATAAACCTAAGTTTTACATCAAATCAAATTGAAGCAAAACTCACCCGTCAATTATAAAACATTTATAATCAAGGGCACAAAAGATTGATTACTTTGTTCAATGCAATATAGCCTATCTCGATTGCTCTAGTATTTCGTTAAGTTGATTTGGGACACACCTTAACAAAATAAATTGGCCGAACAATATAGCTTAAGTCGTCCTAACTAAAACAATAAAATTTTCATGCTTTAAAATATTTTAGAATAATTGCAATAATACCATATTAGATTATATAAAACCATAGCATTACACAAAGAGTAATCCCATTATATATGGGATAATCATTACATACAAATACAAAATTTAACCCATCTTAATACATCATATACTCCTAATCCTCCATATTATTCATTTTCTTACTGTTCAAAAACAGGATTATAAATCATTACTCCAATAACAAAACCTACTTTCATACCTCCATGATCTCCCTCCTTTTCGAGAAAATATTAAGTCCTGCAAATATAAATAGCATACAAAACTTTTTATAACCGCTGATAACCGTCATGTCTCCCGTGTTTCTCTCTCTACCTATGGCTGCATATGTCCAAAAGCTTCTTCCTACCTTCCACGATCTCATCGAAGAAATCATCCAACTGCGCAGCCACATTCTCTGCTCCATATCTCAAAAGCTCAAACCATCCCTTCAAACTCTCCACCTTCTCTCTCACTTCATTTTTCTCGCAGCCTTCTCCTCCATTCCTCTCCACCGCCTCCCTCAGCTCCTCCAGCGCCGCCTTCACCTTCCTGAACTCATTCATAAGTATCCTCGGCCTCCCTTCCATTCTCTCTACTTCACCCGCCACTCTCTGCTGCAGTCTACTCATCGACGCCATGAATCCAGAACCATGGAGGAGAGAGCCTTCCATGGCCGTCGCCTCGCCCCCGCTAATGGCGCTTGAGCTTGGCGCCGGCCACCATGACACCAAGCCCCAGAGCAAGATAATGAGTAAGAATGAGCTCACGCTTCTCATGGCGTAAAGCACTCCCCTGAATCCATTAAAGCCATTAAGCTTCGATTCCATCTCTAATCTTGAATCCAATCTCAGCGATATCTCTTCGGTCCTCGTTTCCACCATAACTCTGTTAGTTTCTTCCAGCCCCGCAGCTTCCCTCCGGCAAACGGACACCGCTCGCTTTACCTGGTCCGCAGAAAAGATCAGAACTTTAAAAACAATACTGCACTTGCGAGCTTTCTGCAAAGGAATTACTTTTAACTGAAGTACCTGATTTGAAACACGGCCGTCGAAGGAGGAAGCCATGTTAGCTCCAGCAGAGGCGTAATTCTCCATGGCAGTGATTCCGAGCTTGAGCACATGACAGGCGTCCCAAAGGCGAGAGCTTTCGTCCATATATTCATCGAGCCACTTCTCCCCAACCGGAAGATGCAGTTTTTTCACCATGTTCGTCAGCTGGTAATGGAAAGAACGGAGGAGAGAGACACTGCTTTGAATGAATTGAAGAGACATGAACTCCGTCGAAGCAAAGGTGCGCTCCAGATCGTCAAGCCCACGAGCAAGAGAAGAATAGAAGTTGTTCACTGAGCTCGAACCTGGCTTCATTTTCAAAGCAGGAATTTGCAGAGCAGCAGGCAGTGGTGGCAGTGGGAGGAGGAAGAGGAAGATGGGGTTATAAGAAGCAGAGTTCAGTTTCCTATTTTCTGAAAACGAAAGCCTGGGCGCAATGATGAGTGTTTCCCTCAGAGGGGAAAGTTGGTTGGAAATCTACCATTCTGCACCAATTCCATGAAATTCATTCTTCACATATTCAATTCATAGCACCTCCCCCCTTTTCCCTCTCCCTCTTTCACGGCTTATTTCTCTGTTTCCGAGAAGAAAACAGAGGAAAAAGACTTGGGAGTGGGGGCAGGTATCTCCTTCTTGGCCTTTATGATTCCAAGCTCTCCAGTCAAGTTTGAATGGACCGATGTGGAGTTCTGGGACCAGTTGTGACTGAGAGTGAGAGCGAAACCAAAGAAGAAAATAAGCAAAAAGACCCAACTTTCTTCCCCTTGTTGCTTCTTATTGAGCCTGCAATTCTCATAGAAATTCAAACCGTAAAGCTCTGTTCTTTCCCCCGCTGTCCACGAAATTATGCCGATTAAGAATTAGAAGTCGGAGCAGGTGTCTAATCTCTTCGGAATGTGGAAGGAAATGATGATTTCCATGGAATCCATCCATATCTCTCGATTCCACTGGTCAAAATCTCCTTTTTAGATCGCCCCTGTAATCTTTTTCAAGGCATTCAAGCTTTGTTTTTTGCGAGAGAGAGAATTGGGGTAGGAGAGGCGCGGGAGAGGGGGCGAGGTGCGCTCGTGGGTTTTTGGAGAATGGGATCGATGCTTAGACTCAGAGAAAGACGGAGAATTTTAGTTTTTTGAGATCTCATTGGAAAAGCTTAGGGCTATCAGAATGAACACGATGCCTTCCCATTATTTTATTATTTTAGCAACATTAACATAATGTATTTCCATATCTCACATTAAAATTTTTGTATTTACACATTTAACCCTCAAATCTTTAATATTACATAAAAAAAAAGCACTATCACCCCATTTTAGAAGTTTAAAGCTTAAGATATGTAAATATGTAAATACATAAGAATTGTGGATTATTTATGTAAATTTTATTTTATATTATTATTATTTTTAGTATTTAGTACAATGTAAATTAATTGGTTTAGAAGATTATTCCTTGCTTAGTATTTAAGTTTGTTGGGGTTATCATTAGGTTGAGTGACTTAGGTGCACGTGACTTGGAAATTAATGGACTTATATCCCTTTAAGTGCTTGCATCATTCCTATATATGTGTAAAAAAAAGTTAAGATTTTGTGGGTCTAGGATTAATAATTAAAGCTTTAATTTTATCATCATTATGAAAATGAGAGATTCAACATGTTAATAATTAATTTCTAACTTCATAAGAAATTTAGAGTACTATAGATTTTCATGCATCATTAATGTCTATATTTATATGATTCATATATAATGAAAAATAAGAAAATATACTTTGTTATGGTTACCTAAATGTAAAATTTGATAGGACGCTAATTTATGTGTTTTATGTAAGTGTGAAACAATATGGGATGCATATATTTATTATGTATTGTAATTATTTATAATTTTATTGGTCTAATATTTTTTTTAAATATTTTGCTCAATAATTATATTTTTGCAAGAGCAAAAGGGCTTTAGAGCGAATCATGCTATTTAAGCACAATATTTTTTTTACATCATTGTATTCCTTTAATATTTTTTAATGTTTTATAATAAATGGAGTTACAAGGGATACTTATTTCATCTAATATGTGAGAAATATATTTTGTTATAATGTTATTTAAATACTTTTAACATCAATAAAATATAGAAATTGGATAGCAAAATTTGGAGCAATCATGGACCCTGTTTATTTTTTAGGCACAATAATAATTGAAATTAGAATTTTTTAGACACATATTATGGATCTTTATACAAAATATAATGATATTACATGTATTTTATATTTACCTATCAAGATATTGTTATTAGATTCATTAGGATTTGCATTGTTATGATCATCCCTTGTAATTGTCCACTTATTCAAAGTTAGAATTTTTTAGACACATATTATGGATCTTTATAAAAAATATAATGATATTACATGTATTTTATATTACCTATCAAGATATTGCTATTAGATTCATTAGGATTTGCATTGTTATGATCTTCCCTTGTAATTGTCCACTTATTCAAATGATGATAAACTTATTCTACTTCATGAGAACCTTCTATAATAATATGGTAAAAAATTAATGATTGTCATATACATGAGCTTTTTAATCTAATAATAAAGTCAAATTGTATGAAAGAACACAACATATAGTTATCGAATTGGTTGTATGAAATTTTAATTGCCACAAAATTTTGTTTCACTTATATTGAATGTCAGCTATATAATGCATTATATTATAAGTGGTTTTATGCTTAAATATGTATTACTAATAAACATTTTATAACTACATATCAAGATTAGTTTTACATAAAATTTTATTTCAATATTAGCACTTACATTAGACATGTTAGATATTCATGATGCATTTTATGCTAATTTGTTAAGAAAATATATGTTAAGTGAATCAAGTAACTGTAAAATATAAAAGTGAAAGCAATGATATTAAGAGGGAGTAATTACAACACATATATAGACACAAGGATCACATAGTTCTAATAAGTTCATGAGAAATACATTAAATAATTAATTTATATATGGAGATGTTTAGATTTAGTAGTGCACAAGAGTGGGTTCAATTGTTGTTTTTTATGAAAATGAATCATACATCTAGTAGGTTTGTTAAGTAATGTAAAACTAACTTCTAGTTATAGAAATAAAACGAGTGTAGAAATGATGAATCTAATGAAGAATATTATTTTATAATTCTTCTTTCACTTGACAAAACACATATGACTCTTAATGCTATGTTATTAAATGGAAGTCTTTTGATCTCATCCCTATGTTGATGAAGAGATTTTAACACCCCTTATTCTAAATTCATTTCCATTTTATTACTTTGAGTAATATAAGCTTCTCCTTTTATGATTCTAATTATATTTATTATGAGATAACTTAATATTAATTGCCATTACTCATAATATTTCAATTGTCCATGAAATTGTGCATAAAATATTCATATTTCATATATAATATTATTTAAATATTTGAATTAAATAAATAGCGTGACATGAAGAAAATTTGGCTCACAAGAAACTTAATTATTACCACATATTAAACCAAAATTAATAAACACTTATTTTTGAAGAAACTTTGGGTCCACATATTTAATAGTAACATGTCATAAAATATTATATATTAAGCCTAAATACAATTATGCAAAAAAAATTATATATCTTGGATTTTATTAAGGGTTGGATAGAATGTCTTGTTGTGGCTTGTTATCGACGTGATCATAACATGACATTTGAATTAGATTTGAGAATAGACTATGAAAGGATTTCAATCCTGATTATTTACGATTGAAATTTGATCAAAACAACATTATAATTACATGAAATTTTCAAGTGATATTTAAGGAACGATTATTTGATTCCATTTATGTTTAGAATTCATATAATTTGATTTCATTTCCTACTATACTTGGTTAAATGTTACCGAAACCAAGCTAACTGAATAAGCTTTTCTAAATGAACTTGCCTAGCTTATTGCTATATCGTGCTATTGTTAGTCCCAAGCTAACTGAATAAGCTTTTCTAAATGAACTTGTGTAGCTTATTGCTATATCGTGCTATTGTTCGTCCGACATTTGGAAATCTAAATGCATCTAAATGTATACCATATGATCTCTTACATATTTGCATATTAAACAAGTGAACTTCATTGGCTTTACATATTTATTACTTTATTTATACATGAAAAACTTTCTTGGTGATATCTTCAACGCGATATGAAATCCTAATTGGTAGAAACATAAAAAGTAAAGTTTTGTTGGTGTAGGAATATATAAAAATTGGGAGATTTGGTAATATGGTTGGTTACATTTCTATGAGACTTGATGATTTCTTTTGATTTTGATAATTCATAAGAATTACTAGATCACACTTGGTTGTGGCACCTAAATCTGCCCTTGGAAAGACACTAAATGAGAATCAACAACTTTTGTTCTGAACTTGTTAATTTGATTATATGAAAATGGTATTAATGGGATTTTTGTTGGTGAGATGGAAACTTGGAAGGTGCTCATTTGATCTTTCATACCATAATAAAAAGATTGATGAGGAATCATGGACCATAATGATTTATGGCTATGATCAACAAGAGAAGAAAAGCTTTACATACATAATACTCAATTCCTATGTTTTGACATATATAACACTAGGATTTGTTCTTTTTACAAACATGTAGCCTTATGATGAAAAGGTGTATTTCATTTTTAAAGTTAAAATAGTAGTTTATGATGAGAAAGAATTATATTGTGCAAATGTAAATAGCAGAATTTAGGTGTTATATATCTAAGCAATATGGGTTGAATGATATCTATGTAAATGTATCTTCTTAATATGCTTGCATGATATTTCTATTTGTTGGTAAACTTTAGAGCTAGTGTGATTATTTAAAAAGGTTTAAGATTTTTTTTAAAAAAAATTTCATCTTTGTTAGATATATACTCATGCTATAAATTAGCATTTGGTGATGTATGGAAATATTTTTATTAATATTTGTTATATAAATGTGGTCAATAAGTTATTTTGTTGAAATAGTTATTACATGAATTTGGCATATATGTACGATGATTTATGAATCTTGAATTTTGTATGGTTATCTCTTGTTATAACCCATTATTTTTATTAATATTTGTTATATAAATGTGGTCAATGAGTTATTTTGCTGAAATAGTTATTACATGAAATTGACATATATGTACAATGATTTATGAATCTTGAATTTCGTATAACCCATCAATTACTATTAGGCTCATTTGTGTGCATATATAATATTGAATGATTTACTTGCATATCGCTCAATTTCTATACATTTATGTATTTGATATGTAGGCTTGAAAATTTATAAGCATGCTATACAACTCTCATCTATTTACATGCTTAATATCCCATCTTTATACTCTCATTATGTTACACTGGAGAGTTGTTATTAGTAACTCCTTTTGTAACCAAGCACTTAAGAAGTTATGGCACATAGAGAAGGTAGTAATATAAACTAATAAGGTTAAAGATTAGGTGACAAGCTTGTATGCTTGAACCCACGCACTGAAGTCATTAATACAATAATACATATATTAAATTATATAAACTTATAAGAACTTTACAAGTCTAGAGTAGGTTACCGTATTCTTGTTACGACAGTTATGAGCAATTATTATGAGGTGGTAAACTGTATCTGGGGTGTTCGTTTTTTTAATGAAAAAAATTTGATCTAACATATATAATTTTTTGATCTAACATATAATTTTGAAAAAGAAATTTTTAATTTTGAAAATGATACCGAACGAATCTCGAATATTTGATTGTTTAAATAATCGAACACAAAATTACAAGTAATATGTCATCTCAAAAGATGAAAAAATCACTTAATAATGGGTTCAATTATTCAAATTAAGAAATTTATAGTATTTGTTTGTTTGGTCTGAAAAATACCAATAGATCATTCCTCTTTCTAGCTCGAAGACTATGTAGGGTTTAGATTATCTTGGTTAAGCCCCTATAGTTAATTACATCTTATGAGACCAAAATCACCTAAGAAAACTCTCGATTAAGATTGGGGTTTTGTCTTCAAGAATTCAAAGTTTGGTTTTCGCGATTGATCGTAGGAAAATCAACTAGGAAATTCTCAATGTAGAACAATTATTTCCGTAACTCAAAAAAATAAAAAGTAGAAGATGTCGAAGATACTGAGAAAACCTCAGTAACATCTCAAACTAAGCTATAGTTTGGCTTTACATCTTTGAAAGGAAAAAATATTTAATATTTTAATCCTGTAATTTATTTAGAAATTTATGACTTACATTTGCACAACATACGATCATGCAAACAGCTGAAGAAAATGAGAGGATTTATGTGATACCGATTAACGACATCAAGACCCTAAAAATAGTTAGGGCTTATATCACACGGCATAAAATCATGTTAAGGCCTAAAGATAGTGTGAGGATCTACATCGTGTTAGATGAACAACCTCAAAATTATAAAGGTTTTGTTGATTAAGTTTATGGAAAGAAAGAGAAAACTATGCCTCAGGAGGTCTATCCTAAGGTTTTGTTGTTAGTTGTTATGATCTTGTGAAGTGTATTTTGAATTGATAATTATCATTATTAAATTGATTAAAAGGGGAATTTATTTTATGTTAAGTGACGTCAGTCAAGATCCCATGGTTTTGTCATCGTGACACCAATATTAGTTTTGAATTTAGTTTGTCTAAAGGAGCTATTAAACTTCTTTACACCGGATGGACAGATCCTTCCGCTCCACTCCACTCGTGGGCTCCACTCCGCTCCAACATCTATCCCATTTATGGTATGAGTCATACCTAACAAATCTCCACCTTGGCGAATATTCAGCCCCTTAGGAGAAATACATATATTAAACAAATCTTCAACTTGGAAAGTATCCGACTTCTTAGGAGAGATATATATGCCTAACAAATTTCTACTTTGACGAATATTCAATCCCTTAGGAGAAAATACATCATGGAGTTTCTTATGCACTAATGTGAGTTGGGCCATCACGTTTCCGCTGTGCTCTCACTGATCCCTCCAACCCACTAAATTACTAGAGACACTCCTCTTCAGTTCCAAGAGATATCTCTTCATTCCAAAAGACTCCAAATTCTGGTATTACGAGTCATACCTAACAAATCTCCACCTTGGCGAATATCCAACCCCTTAGGAGAAATACATATGCCCAACAAATCTCCACATTGGCGAATATCCAACCCCCACCTTGGTGAATATCCAGCCCCTTAGGAGAAATACATATGCCTAACAAATCTCCACCTCAGTTTTTCATAGCTTGAATTTAAAGAAGACTTCAGATTTCTGCTTCAAGAAATACACCCAAATTTTTCTGGATAAATCATCAATAAATATAACAAAATACTAAGATCCTCCCAATGACGATTCTCTGGTAAGGTCTCATACATCAGAATGCACATAATCAAGTATCCCTTCAGTTTTAAGTTTTCTAGTCATAAAATTGACTCTAGTCTATTTTCGAAGAGCACAAAACTTACAAAGATCGAGCTTGCAGCTTTTAACACCATGCAACAAATTTCTTTTATGCAATTCCACCATCCCTTGTTCACTGAGATGACCCATACACATATGTCATAGCTTTGTACTATCATCATCTGACTCCACGGAATGAACTCCACATACAACTGTACTCCCCAACAGTTTGTAGATATTACCTGCAGTTAACTTTGCTTTCATCACCGTTAGTGCACCCTTAACAATTCTAATGGTTTCTCTATCCTCATCTGCCTTGGGAATAAAATCATTTTTGTGTAGAGTGCTCAGGGAAATCAAATTCTTCTTCAGATATGGAATATGTCTGACATCACATAATGTTCGAACTGTGTCATCATACATCTTAATTCTGAATTCTCCAATACTAATAATATTGCAGCATCTATCATCACCTAGATAAACTGAGCCAAACTTAGTTGATATGTATGAAGTAAACCACTCCCTGTTAAATGTTATGTGATAAGAGCATTCTGAATTAAGAATACATGCATTCGTGAACTGAGTTGATGAAACTGAAAGCATATCATCATCACTGCAATCTGAATTTTCACTCTGCACCACATTTACAGACTTCGTTGATCATCACCTTTCTCCTCAGTCTGCTTCTTGAGCTTTGGACAATCTCTCCATATGACCTGTCTCTTTGCAATTGTAGCAATGAATTGTTTTTTTTTTTTTTGCCTTTGGACTTGGATCTGAAATTTCGCCTTCTAGAACCCTCCTTCTTTTTCTTCTTTCCACGATCTTGCTTACCCTTTACATACAAACTGTCGTCATGAGAGTTTTTCCTTGCATTCTGCTGTCGCTGGTTGTGAGCTAACAATGCTACAGTGATCTCATCAACTTTAATAGTTTCTTTCCCTTATGTAAGAGTAGTCACCGGGTATTCAAGGAAGAAGGCAGTGAACACAACAAAATTATTGCTCAGTTTTCATCCTCAATAATCACATCAAGCCGTGATAAATCTGTGATTATTTGATTAAAATCATTAACATGCTGCGCCAGATCAGAACATTCTGCTGCGCCAGATCAGAACAGCCAGATCAGAACATTCTTGCATCTTCAGCTCATACATCTTTTGCTTCAGATACAATTCATTCGTCAGAAATTTAGCCATAAACTGAGTTTTCAATTTCTTCCACCCCTCCCTTGGAGATTTTAGATTCATTATGTGATACATAACCTCATCTGTCAGACATAAACATATATTTGCTGCCGCTCGTTATTGCAATTCTTCCCAATCTTCATCCTCCATGACATCTGGTTTCGTAGCCCGCAAAGCCTTCAAAATTCTCGGTTGCTCCAACAGATCTTTTACTCTTATTTGTCACAATCTGAAGTTACCAGTTTCATCGAACTTCACTACCTTGAATTTTGCACAAGAAATTGTCATTTGAAATTGATTCTGCAACAAATTATTCATCAATTGTTTGCTCAGAATCTTAAAAAAAAGTATTGAAAAAATTTTCTTAATTAAGTTTTTCAAAAAAGCATCTTTTTTTTTTTAAATGATTGAAATATTGCCTTAATTAAGGTTACTTAATTAAGTCTTTCTGAATTAAAATATTTCCTTTTAATTAATTGAATTTCAAAAACTCTCATTTGCCTTTGCGCCTTCCGCAAGGAATGAAATTGGAGCAAATTTTCTTGAATTTTTCGCTTTACCTAACATTAATCAACACCATCCTTAACTCCGGCCTAAGGCTATAAAAATGTTTCGTTGTTCTAGAACAGCTTGTATTCGACTTGTTAAGTGTTCGATTTATTCACGAAGCAAATGAGTCGAACACAAACCATTTTTTTTTGCGTTTGATATATAAATGAGCCGAACACGAGCAAAGTTTTGTTCATTCATGTTTGGCTCGGAATGATTATATATATATATATATATATATAATACATATATATCATAACAAAGGCAACCAAACTACCCATTCAGCTTTTCACCCTATCAAAAACATCTAAAGATAGAAGAAGAAAGTAAAATATAAACAAACAAACACTCAAGCATCTAAGAGGCCTTGCGTCTGAAGTGTGATCCAAGTAGTCACAAAACTTGACAAGGTGGCTGTGAAACCAAGTTTCAACATTTTTATAAACAAAAAGCTGTTATTTATGCTAACGCCAACACTCCTACTATTTGTAGACAGTCAATTACACTTAGTGATCATCTATCTTAAACTCTAAGTGAAAATGTTTTTGATCCAAGCATCATAAGGATATGAGCAGAATGGATATGAGTTTGCGGTGGAGGTGGTGCGACTGGAAAACTTCTTCACTGTTGTTAACCTAGAAGACACTCTTTCATTCTGAAAAAGCCATTAAGAGAATGATCGGAGAATAGGATAGAAATGTGATCAATTTGGTTTTTATAGGTTAGTTTTGTATTTAACTTCAAGGACAAAGGCTACCAAATGATGAAAGCAAAGTTCAGATGATGTTTTAATTACAGGTTGCGAATAGAATTAAGTTTTTAAATGTATTGTATCAACATAATTGCAATACTAAACTAGTTTGAGTCACGCAATAATACATGATGACAAATAAATGGGATAATATTGATAAAATCGTCAGCTTTTAGAATGAAATTAAGCTGAAGCACATGTCCGATAACACAAATTCTACACAAGACCCCTAACAAGCGGCTGACAATGTGGTAGAGGGAAATTACATAGGATTTAATTGAAGGTAGATCAATTATAATGAAGAACTTCGGCAATAGTATATGGGCGGCAACAATATTTGATAGGTGTATTTACATACAAATTACACAATTCTTTATGTATTTACATATCCAGCACCTAATATTTCACATTTATATCTTCGCCTGAACCCTAGCTCTCATATCCCAGGCACGCAGGTCTCTATTTCTTTCTCTCACTCGGCGTTGAATTGCTGTTGCATTAGCTCCTTACTATCTTTTTTTTCTGATTTCTGCAGACAATTTTCGTGAAGACGTTCGGGTGCGCGCATAACCAGGCAAGCTATTTATGGCGATTATGTTTCTGGAAGAATATAGTTTTTTGTAATTAGGTGCTTATTCTGTTGTAATTTGGATTTTGTCAGCAGAGGAAGAGTTGACTATGTTTTCTACTGTGATGCTGGTTTAATGTTACATTTTTCTGTTTACATATTTGGACCTTACCTGAAAATGGTAGAAACTTCTAGAATGATTCCATAACCTTATATTAGCTAAGTTAGGGAGTTTTCCATGACATCTTTTTCAGAAATCAGAATCCCCTGCTTCCCACCACAAAACAGATGCAGCTGCGCAACAAACTTATTAGGAGAAATTGAAACTAGAAGTGGTGGGGGGTGGAGAGAGGGTAGATTTTATGGTTGTATAGTCGAAAAGTAAATTAGACAAATAAAGAGATGAGTTGATTTTAAGACCCAAACCTGTTGCCAGGTATGGAATCATTATGAAGCATGATGCTCATGAATGTTTGTTTTAATCACATAGAGGAGGGTTAGCTATAAGTTTAACTGTTGCACATAATTTATAACATTCCTAAAATAAAGAGAAAAAAGTATAACAATGATTCCTACTGTTTCCTTGTGATTGGCAATAGGGTGAAAGATTGCCCTTATTCTGGAAAATGAGAGGTCAAAACTTGATGTCTACTGAAAATGAAGGATAACAAATTGTGCCGAAGTTTAATGGTAGAACATCATTTTTCTTAATAATACTTTTAATGAGTGCATATTGAGAAAGTTTAATTTTTTTAGGGTAAGGCGCTCTACAAATCAATGAATCATTCAACTATATTTTACTTTACAGATTAGTCATTAAATTTTTAAAAATGACAAAAAAGTTGCAATAATTCAATTTTTATGACAACTTAATAATTTATCATAGAAAATATCAAATATGTAATTCTAGAAGATGTCATTGTTAAGTATATGGAATAAATTAAAGGGTAATGTAGTCAACTAATAAAGTTATTATTTAATTTACAATAAAAATGTCACATTACTTGCAAATTATGGGTCAAATGATAGCTTTATGAATTTATTTGCTGTATTCTTCTTTGATTTATGACTTGCTTTTAATGTGGCTTATTTATCATCACATAGTTAGTATTTCAATGAGAATTGATTAAGTTGTCATCAAAATTTAGAACATAACAAATTTTTGGCCGTTGTTTAAACAATAGTAGCCAACTATAATGTAGGATTGTAGAGTACTTTTCCTGCTTATATATTTAGTGATGGAGGGATTATATGATACTTGTGTGTGGGATCGCTAAATGACATTCGATAGTTCTTATTAAATATAGGTGTGATCTTATCATTTGTATTTAGGTTGAACTTATTGTTTATTTTTGTGTCCAAGAGCATTATTCCTTTTGTTTTAAATCTTTTGAGAAAAAAATCAAACTATCCTTTGACTACAGTCGAAGCTCACAAAATTTTAGCAAAATGTTCAGTTTCCTTTCCATTGTGGCGCAAAAGGTTACACGTACCATTAATCCTTGAATAAGGTGCCGTCTTATTATGCAAAGCTTTTTCATGAGAATGGAATCTAAACTGGGTGTGTGGCTCTTGCATTTTTCTATGAAGTTTTAATCAATGTTTATTCTATCTTCATCATTTTTATATTTCTATTAGTCTTTACCTTGCATCAGTGATAACATTTCTGATCTGGAATAAAACATATTCTTTTGAATGTCAGAATTTGATAGCTTGCTCTGCTTAACAGAGTGATAGTGAATACATGGCTGGTCAACTCTCAGCATTTGGTTATGCACTGACAGAAATTCCCGAAGATGCAGACCTGTGGCTCATCAACACGTACTTATTGTTTATCTCTTAACTCATTTCCTGCAGCCTCCTTTACCTGCCAACCTTATGAATCTTTGTTACTTACAGATGTTGTACGTGCATTGTTAAAAGTCTTGCAACTTTTTGTACATTACTACGGAGCATGATATTTCATCTTTTTTATTTATTCCTATATTTGGCCATTGCTTTAATCATTGTACTTGTGCCTGTTGGTTTAAATTTGTTTTCAAATATTCTGTGTTCCATACCTGCTATAAACTTAAAGGTATAGTCCCAATGAATTTGATTCATGCCAGTTTTTTCTACTTTTTGGCTTATTTACTGCCTCAAGGCTAGTCAAATTATCTGGCTCTATCACTGTCATTGTTACCATCAGCTCTTTGAGCCCTCTATGATTTGACTGTCCAACTTTGGGTGCGTTAGATGTAACAATAGGTACCGATTTAGCAAAGTGGGGCACTAAAAATAAATAATCATTTATCGTGATAACATTTTTTTCAAGTTCCATGCGCCACAATATTGAGAACATGCACCATACTAAATAATAATATCTATATTAGATAAATGAATAAATTACTCTTATTTTCTAGTATACATAGCTTAAAGATAATCTACTCTTCATTACTACATGTGTTTTTTTTCTGTTTTTTTTTTGGTGTCAATTGCTTCATTTGCAACTCTTCAACACTTCCTTTTATCTTCTCATGCTATCTTCAATATTTACTATAGAATTTAAAGCTTTTGCGGCTTTATTTGATCTCTCTTATCTCGTTGTTTCTGCAAATCTTAATGCTTTTAATGTGTCATGTAATGTCAAATTGTTACCAATTCTTATTCCATGGTTGAGGTATTGGCACCTATCTATAAAAGTATGGTGCTCACCTATGTAAGACAATGATAATGGCGCTCACTTGGGAGTTATTTGAGACATTATGACCGTTCTAGCTTTATCTAGGCTGTTAGTGCAGCGCTTAGTTTATTATTCAAAATTTGATCATCAATCATCAATCAGCACAAAATGCAGCAATCAGCACAAAATGCAGTTTTTTTTTTTTGTCTCCTAATTTATCTCCTTTGAATTTTGTGTTTATTTTCATGTAGTTGCACCGTTAAGTCCCCTAGCCAATCAGCTATGGAAACTCTTATATCAAAAGGCAAAAATGCAAAGAAACCCCTGGTGGTAGCTGGATGTGTTCCTCAAGGAAGCAGAGATATGAAGGAGCTAGAAGGAATTAGCATAATAGGTGTCCAGCAAATAGACCGTGTGGTTGAAGTGGTGGAAGAAACCTTGAAAGGTCATGAAGTGAGGCTTCTAACTCGAAAAACACTGCCAGCGCTGGACCTTCCTAAGGTAATTTTACTTCTTATTTTGCAAAAACATTTATTTTCTTGTTTTAATTTACTTGTGCAGGGCTTTTAGTAATTTTATGTTAGCCACAAACAGTCGTGATTTCATATGAGTTTTGTTTTGAACAGGTGAGAAAGAATAAATACGTAGAAATTCTTCCGATTAATGTTGGTTGTTTAGGTGCTTGCACCTACTGTAAGACGAAGCATGCTCGTGGCCATCTTGGGAGTTATACGGTGGAATGCCTTGTAAGGCTTTTTCTTAAATTAAGTTTTTTGTCAGAGATGTTGATATGTTGTCTTCAAGAAGGTGAGTCTATTTGAGACTTTCATTTATGCAGGTCGAACGGTTGAGAACTGTCATTTCAGAAGGAGTCAAAGAAATATGGTTAAGCAGTGAAGACACTGGTGCCTATGGTAAGTGACCTTAGTGGCTAAACTGGCCATAGTTTATTTTGCAATTTTGTTGACCTCATTTATACTAAAATGTTAGGGTCTACTTGAAATTATTTTCTATTGCATGCTTCCATTTTCTTGAACAATAAGTTTAACTGCTATGAGAAAATGTTCAACGATGTTAAAATTTAAAACAAATTTTTTAGAATGGCAGTTTAGATGGTTTCTCGGAGGCTTCTTTTATGATATCTAGATTTTTTATTTAATTAATTTTGACTTTAATTAATTACATACTGAATAAGATTAGTTTTTCATACTTTTATATAAAAAATTATGCTATTATTTATTTCGATCATTTAGTTGGTGTTATAAGAAGTTTTTATCAAGTCGACTATAATCATCATTTCAGATGGTAATCTTACCAAACAATTCCAATTATCTATTTTGCACTGCAACAGTCTCAAAATCAATCAGCCTTCGGCATAGGATGTAGAGGATTGTTTAACAGATAAAAGCGCCATATTACTAATGTGTGGAAACCTTTATTTGTATTTTTTTAAGCATTTGTTGTTGTTCCACTATGGTCATCCCTTGTAACCATTCTATAGTTGCGTGACCGTTTTTCTTTTATAGCCCTTCATGTTAATTTTATGGGGGATTTACATACATAGCACCCCAAATTATTCATTTACATATCCAACACCTAAAACTCCCAAATCTATCAAAATTAGCACTCTGTTACTTTCTTCGTTATGTTGCTCGTTTTCCCGAATTCTTCGTTAGTGGAGGAGGCTATCGCCTGGCCGGTGTAGGCGAGCTCTTGTTGACGGGGTTTCAATCTCTGTTCATTGATACGGTGGGAGGAATCACAAAGCATGGAAGAATCCTAGTTGCCTTTGGTGGCTCCAACTCATTCATAGATGCAATGATGGTAAATGGGTATGTTCCAAAGTTCAACCCCTTTGTCAGACCTCCGAAGTGGAGGCAGTGCCTTCGTTACCAGAGTTTTATACTATAGGTGAATATCAGGGCGGTGATACTTGAGGAGCATCTGGACAGGTGAGTGGAGGAGATGATAGAGTTGGGAATGGTGGTGGAGCTTGGGGGGTACTCCACCGAAGGAGAGTGGGATCAGCATCCTGGATTAGAAAAGGCCTTAGAAATGTTGGAGTTTCACATAATACTTCTACCAGAGAAAGGCGATGGCATAGAGGATGCGATCGGTGGCTGGTGGAGGAGCATGTGAGGAAACTAAAGCAACGGAGGAGCTTGGTCTGGCCAAAGTGGGCGTGGAACCTTAACCGGATGCTAGCCAAAATATTCGAGAGTAACGGAGAACTGGGAAGCGTAGCGAAGGAAGCAAGGGAGTGCTAGATTTGATAATTTTGGGAGTTCCAGGTGTTGGACATGTAAATCTTGAGCTTTGGGTGTTGGATATGTAAATACATAAGTTTTGGGTGCTACATATGGAAATCCCCCTAATTTTATTGGCTCTCTATTTTGTTTCTTCACTTTCTACCTCCTATCCATGTCAACACCATCTTAGATATTGTTGTTGCGTTTGTTAATCTACTTTTCTCATTTTGATTCACTTACGAAAGAATTTACCTCTTGGGTCTATTAGCATTCTATGGGATTGTGTCTTGTGGGCATTTTCTGACTCGTTGACGGGCAATATTGAATTGGAGATAAATGAGAAACAAAAAGTTGAACCGAGCAATGAATGGGAGACTAATAGATGTTTGCTTAATTCCAACTTAATTTTCATCAAATGAAAGACTCCAATTTATTGGATTTTATGAAAATGGAATAAATGAATCGCCTAATCTTCTTCATTCGGGTCAAATCTTCTTCATTTGACTCTTTGAGCTTACTAACCCTTGGAAGCCGAAAAATAAAGAGGGGAAAGCTCTTTTAGTTTATTTTATTTATTTACTAGAGGATCCCTTTTTTGAATAAAGCGAGTAATGTTTTGAAGTAAAATTAAATAAATATACACAACTCTTTAAATATAAAGATTTTTTTTTTACTTGCATATTTTTCTATACTAAAACTCCTCTCAAGTTTGAGCACATATATCAGTTTGATCAATTTGTATAAGTTTAAGGGCTTTGTAGAAATATTAGCAATTATTTATCTATGGCAACAGGAGTGATAATCATCTAGGGCTGTAAACGAGCCGAGCTTGAGTGAGCTTAGGCTTGGCTCGTGTTCAACTCATTCGAAATTACTTATGTTTGAAATCGGCTCAGGTTCGAAATTGGCTTGTGAACAGTGTGTTTATGTTTGGCTCGATTTATATGTCTTGTTCATTTCTGCTCGAAATTAGTTTATTAAAATTAATTGGAAAATTTGATGTAGGGTGTTGAATTCGAACTTGCACCAACTCTGTGCAATAGAAGATGCAGAACCACATGCCCACATGAGCTTTTATGATTTAAACTTGATATAAATATACATAATATATTCTTATATAAATAATTTGTATAATATATTATTATATAAATAATATATATAATTTCTTTATTTTGAGCTAAAACGAGCAGACCACGAGCAAACAAATGGTTGTACATGTTCAGCTCGTTTATAATTCGAGCTTAAAAATTTTATTCATGTTCGATTCGTTTACTTTACAAATGAGTCCAGCACAAGTTACTTAACGAGCCGAACACGAGTTGTTCGTAAACAACAAACTTTTTTGACTGCCCTATAATCATCGTTGTCAGAATAGCATCCATAATAATGCGAGTCAATTTTGTTGTGTTTCTGAATATCATCGATAATATTGTGAGTCAATTTTGATATGTTTAGTCTTTTCTTGGAAGATAAGATTACTACCAATATAAATAGCATCATCACAGTTCAAAGCCATCAGTTGGGTGAAAAGAAAATTGTACTCGAAGAAAAGTTCTTACCACTTCATTTTGCAGAGTAAGCCATTGTCTTGTATTATACTTCATTTTTAGGGCTTGCCACAACTATTTGATTCGACTGTTGGTCTTCACACAACTTTTTGCTTCTTAGTTTCCAAAGCCGCCATTTTTATCAACAAAGATACATCATCTAAAAGTTCACTTCTTATCTTCAACATGCCCAACGTAATCAGCATTTCTATAAGCTTCAACATTTTTTTTATTGGGCTAGTCTTAGGAAATTTATCGATCAAAATCCTTGAACAACCGAAGGTTTTTCCCTTTCCAAAATTTTGATGTGCTAACCAACGAAGCTCAGAACAAAGGATATACTTCAGGTCTAATGATAGCTTGAAGGACAAGCTTACCAACTAGACATCGATAGCTTGTATCTTCAATTTTTTTTTCTCATTCTCATTATTTAAAGTGCTTGCATCGAAGGTAACTTTTTTCTTCTCGAAGTTCTATAATATATGTTCTCTTAAAAGAAAAATAGACAACTTGTTTACTTTAAACTCAATGCCAAGCAATTGTTTTAAGGAACCTAAAATTTTTCAGCAATGCATAGGAGGAAGAATGCCACATGAAGATAGAATGATCAACAATATTAATCTATTCTCCAACATCAACTAGATCATTGTAGTGTTTGTCAAATCATGTGTGATTACTTTATTTTAAACCATATATAGCCTTTTGAAGTTTTTTTTTTAATTTTTTTTATTTTTTGGTTTCACCGAAACAACATACACGAAGGGTGCTTTATATAAATAGCTTTGGTGAGGTCACAATAGAGAAGTGTACTGTTGACATTCATTTTTAGCTTAATTTATCTTTTGATTAATTGCTAGAAAGAAAAGAAAAAGAATAAAATTAAGCCATGCAATATGGGAGAAGTTTGGATGGAGTTTATGCCATGAACCATTGTATACTCTTTTATAGCTAATTAAGCCTTGTATTATTTAACAAAGCCATTAAGATGGTCTTAACAGTGACTATCCAATGACATGTAATGGGTTTAACCCTTGGAAACATCCAAATCCCATTTTTGAAGATCAATAAGAGCTCTATTTTAGTTCTGATTGTGCATCATTTTGAGTTGAGCAAAGCCTTCTAATTTATTTTGAGAATGGAGACAATCAGCATAGCTATTTAGTCCGTTCATAGCTATTTCCATTTTATGTTTGACTAAATGTAAAGCTCTTTATATTTTCTTGTAGAACTAGTGACCTACTTTTCATTTTAAATATTTGATGGAATCCTAATATTATATCTAAAATGTAATGGGTTTAACCCTTGGAAACATCTAAATCCTATTTTTGAAGATCAATAAGAGCTCTATTTTAGTTCTGATTGTGCTATCATTTTGAGTTGAGCAAAGCCTCCTAATTTATTTTGAGAATGGAGACAATCAGCATAGCTATTTAGTCCGTTCATAGCTATTTCCATTTTATGTTTGACTAAATGTAAAGCTCTTTATATTTTCTTGTAGAACTAGTGTACCTACTTTTCATTTTAAATATTTGTGGAATCCTAGTATTATATCTAAATATTCATAACTTGGCAGGCCGTGACATTGGGGTAAACCTTCCAATATTGTTGAATGCCCTTATAGCAGAACTTCCAACTGATAGAAGTACCATGCTTCGCATTGGCATGACGAATCCTCCTTTTATACTCGAACATTTAGAAGAAATAGCTAAAGTTCTGCGCCACCCCTGTGTTTATTCATTTCTTCATGTTCCTGTGCAAAGTGGGAGTGATGCTGTTCTTAACGTGAGTTTTAAGATGCAATTTATTGGTTAAGCGTCTTTTTGTAACCTTTCTTCTTATTGATTTTCTTGGATATTGTGGTTGCTGTCTAAACCATGTGCTATTTGATTCAAGAACAATGCAAAATTACCCAGTCTGACTGTTCTCATTTTTTCAAGAGTACATTATTTACATTCCTAGCACTCAAATCTTTAATAGCACAATAAAAATATCACTGTCACCTATTTTTAAAAGTGGAATACCCTTTTCATGCACAGGTTTATCATACCACAAAATGTTATGCATGTAAGTGTGAAAGTGTAGGTCTTAGTTATGTATATACATAAGAATTTTGTGTTATGTATGTAGATTTCCCTTTTGGTAACATAATTACCTTATGCCATCAGCGCTTGTGCTTTGCCAGGTGATGAACCGTGAGTACACTGTCAGTGATTTTAGAGCTGTGGTGGATACTTTGATGAGTCTTGTGCCTGAGATGCAGATTGCAACTGATGTAATATGTGGATTCCCAGGTATGTAAGCTGTTTCAGATGTAAACATTTTCTTCTTAGGCTGCTTTGTGGCGCTCTGTTTAAAATTGAGGGGCATTTACAACTAATCTTGATATGTAGTTACATATCTAACATCTATACTTTAATATTTATATTCATAGCACTTGGATCTTTCACATCACATCAAAAATACCACTTAACTTTTTAAAAATCAAACACACCTTTTTATGCATAGGTTTATAACGACAAGCTGTTATAAATGTAACTATCAAATTTTAGGTGTTGTGTAAATTCATAAGAATTGTGTGCTAAATATCAAAGTTTCTCTAAATTAACAAACCATTAGGTGTGGTACTGGAAAAGAATCCGGTAAATTGTGGAGTTGTTACGTACAAATATTTCTGAAGTCAACATCTGGAGAGATAATCAATCAAATATTTACGATTTCTAGGTGAAACTGTTGAAGATTTTGCACAAACTATTGCTCTCATCAAGGAGTACCAGTTTCCTCAGGTCCATATTTCACAGTTCTATCAACGACCAGGTCTGTTCTTCTTTCTCCTCTCCCATTCACTGCAAATCTTAGTCTCTTTATCCATAGCTTGTTCTCTCTAGTAGCAGCTGATCTGTTTGTTTTTACAGTGCTGTTAGCTATTTGTTTGCTTTATTTGATTTAAATTGTTTATGGTTTGAAATTAGATTTCATTGGTTAACTATTAGCTCTTGATATGATTTCCTTTATGGGCATGTTTATTTTAATTTGTTAGAAGTTGTTGGAATTGCGTTTAGTAGTGTCCTTTTACAGTGTCTGTTTTGCATGAACTCGTTGTTCAATTAATTTTTATATTTATTTGGGTTATATTGATTTTTATACACTTCAGTGAAATTAATTCTTTCATGTTTATTAATTACTTTATTAGTGTGATTAATAGTAAATTTTTATTTCATGTGTTAACAAATGTCTTCTTAACTAGATTATTTATTTTTAAATTAATTATTAATTAGCATATTTTTATTTATATTAATTACTAATTAGCATATTATTAATTAGCTTATATTAATTATTAATTATTAATTACTTTATTATTGTGATTAATAGTAAAATTTTTGTTACATGTGTTAACAAATATCTTCTTAACTAGATTATTTATTTTTAAATTAATTATTAATTAGCATATTTTTATTTATATTAATTACTAATTAGCATATTATTAATTAGCTTATATTAATTATTAATTATTAATTACTTTATTATTGTGATTAATAGTAAAATTTTTATTACATGTGTTAACAAATATCTTCTTAACTAGATTATTTATTTTTAAATTAATTATTTTACTAATATTTTTTATAAGTCTTAATATCAAAATTGTAATTAAATAGATTAATTAATTCTTAATTAGGCTACTTAATCTATTACTTATTCAGATTCATTTTTTAAATATATTAATTAATTGAACATAATAAATTCAATTAATCTATATATACTCATTTAGAGTTATTAATTTTAACACTGTCATTGCGAGGTCCTAAATTTCAGATGTGAAAAGTGGAGGGTTGTGTTAGGTACTCGACCGCCGACGTAAAATTTATCCAAAATTACTGACATGAATCCTTTAAATTCTTGTATAAATGTTAGGGCGTCCTCTGAAAGTGACGTGCTTTGCAAGGGCCACATTACGAATAGATGCGGGTAAAAAGACTAATATTAGGATAGGATATTCTAATATAGTTTTTCTCATAGATAAATTAATATAATTAGTTGTTATGATTCATAGAAAGATAAATATCTTATGTATTCAAGAGACTAAATGAGTTGGAGAAAATGCTAAGGAGATCGATAGCTGTGGTTTTAAACTTTGGTATTTAGGTAAGAGTCGCACTAGAAATGGAAGGTGTAATTATATATAAGAGTTTGAAATTTAATGTTGCAAAAAATAAAAGAATTGAAGATAGAATTATAGCCCTTAAGATTGTTATTGATACTAAGATTTTTAATGTATAAATGCTCATGCTTCTCAAAATAGGTTTAGCTATAGATTCTAAAGAAAAATTCTGAATGATCTAGAAGAATTAAGGTAACTGGTATCTCTTGAAGAAAAAAATTTTATTAAAGATTTAAATGTACATGTTTGTAGGGTGGTAGGAGATTTTAGAAATATTAATTGTGGCTACGATTTTGGAGTGATTAATGACGAAGGTGGAACCATATTAGATTTTGCTTTAGCGAATAATTTTGTTATTGATAATACTTTATTTAAGAAAAGAGATGAACATATTATTACTTATAACTTATAAGAATGAGTCTAATAAAACACATTGATTATTTTAATGTGAGAAGAAGAGATCGTCAAGAATGTAAAAATTGTAAGGTCATTCCAAGCGATAATTTAAGTACTCAGCATCAATTATTAATTTTGGATTTTAAGATGAAGAGTTGTAAGATAAAAAATACAAGGAATCATTGTCATAGTAATAAATTGGGGCACCGGAAAGACACAAATTAATTTATTTTATGATTAAACTTCAAGATTTTACGATTTGAAAAGTTCGTGAAGAAGCAAACTCTATGTGGGATAAAGTAGCAAACATTATTAAACAAGTGACAAAAGATGTACTTGGAGAATCAAAAGAAAAAGATTCTATAAATAAAAATAGTTGGTGGTGGAATTATAACCTTCAAGAAAAGTTCAAATATAAAATGTGTAATAAAAATTAATTTAAATGTAAAAGTTTAGAGAATTTTGGAAAAATATAAGGTGACCTGTAGGAGAATTTAAGAGATCTATGACGCTAAAAATTCTACTTTTAACGATCTTTATAATAGATTAGTTACTAATGAGGGTGAAAAATAAATGTATAAACTAGCTAAACAAAGAGAAAAAAAGTAAAGATTTAATTCAGATAAAGTGTATTAATGATGAAGATCAAAAAGTGTTTTTCTTAGAAGAAGATATTCAACATAGTTGGTTGAGCTATTTTGATAACTGAAAATACTATCGACCTTGATGATTTTAGTATCCTTAATAATAATAAAATGTTTTATTTTTACCGTCACATTAGTAAAAAAGAAGTTGAAAAGACTTTAAAGAAAACCAAGTGTGAAAAATTATTAGGACCTAATGATATCTCATTTGAAGTGTGGAAATATTTATGGGATTTGAGAGTTTCCTGGCTTACTGAACTCTTTAATATTATGTTAAAAACTAAAAAGATGCATGAGAAGTGGATAGTGGATGAGGAGTATTTTGGTCCCTATTTTTAAGAATAAAGGGGATGCACAAAAATGTAAAAATTATAATGGAATTAAATTGATGTGACAATACTTTAAAATTATGGGAGAGGGTAATTGAACATAGGTTAAGATATGGTACAAAGATTTCTCATGGATCGGTTTGGATTTATGTTGGGCAAGTCTACCATGGAAGTTATACATTTATTGAGACATTTGATGGAGAAGTACAGAGATGGTAAGGTGTATCTTCATATGATTTTTATTGATTTAGTTTGATAAGGTTCTAAGAGAAGTCCTTTGGAGAGTTTTAGAGAAGAAAGGTGTTGATATGACTTATATCCAAGTCATTAAAGATATGAATTACTCGATTGGTTACTTGTGTTTGAACATGAGGATTGACCAAATATTTTTTTTCTATTTCAGTTGGATTACATCAGGGATCAGCTTTAAGCTCATATCTTTTTTGATTTAGTTATGGATGCTCTGACTGGACATTTACAGGAGGATGTACCTTTGTGTATGCTTTTCGCTGAGGATATCATTCTTGTGGAGAAGACTAGAGAAAAAGTTTAGGAAAAATATGAATTATCAATGTCTACATTGGAGTCTAAAGGCCTTCATTTGAGTAGAACTAAAACTGAATTCATGGAATGTAATTTTATTAGTAGTAGCTCTAGTGGTAGAGTTGTAACTTTGGGCGATCAAATCATTAAAAGGTGTGAACGTTTTAGATATCTCAAGACTATTGTTCAAAGTGATGGTTGATATAGATGGGGGTGTTTATAGTAGAATTCAAGTTGGTTGGTTGAAGTGGAGGAATGCATCGGGCCTATTGATTGATAGAAAATTATTGCTTTAATTGAAAGGAAAATTTTATAAGATGGTGGTGAGACCTGCAATTCACTATTGCGCAGAATGTTGGCCTTTAAAAGAGAAGCATAAAACAAGTTAAGTGTTGCTAGGATGAGAATGCTTGGGTGGATGGGTGGCTTGACGCTTAGAGACAAAATGCATAATGAATATATCTGTGATAGGGTTGGTGTAGCTCTAGCGGAGGGCAAGATTAGAGAGAATCGTCTCAAATGGTTTGGTCACATTAAACATTGACCATTTGATAATCCAATTATGAGAGTAGATGTTTTAAATTTAACTAATGTTAAAAAAGATAGAGATAGACTTAAAAACACTTGCGCATATTATATAAAAATAATCTTAATCTATAGAATTAAATGATTGGAATTAAATGAAAATGTGATACTCAATAGGACTCAATGGAGAAAAAGGATTCACGTAGCTGACCCCACTTAGTGGGATAAAGGCTTGTTGTTGTTGTTGGTTGTTGTATTATGTGATAAGTTAACACTATTTATTTTTTCTAATATCTATTTAATAGATAATTAGTCTAATGAATACATATTTTTTTATCTATCAATTAACTATTTTATTACTAATTAGACTAATTTGTTACACTAATTATTAATTAATGACTTGTTTCTCTAATGAATTTGTAAGAAATTAATTAGACACATTGATTGTTAATTACACCCGTATTGATTTTTTCTATTCCATCGATTAATTTGAGACTAATTTGTCTAATACACTGTCTCAATTACTTTATTGATCCATAATTAACATGAGAAAAATATCCTTTACTAATTCACATGCAAGAGGAAATTTGAAGGTGCCTTCCACGGCCTCGTGATTAGAACTTCTTTACTTTCTGTTGGTTTTAAAAGTTCGTGCTCATTTAGATATTGATATTTTAGTTCCAACACTCTCGCCTTTTAGTCTTAAGAAAGTTAAAAGAATAAGAAATGGAATATATCTTATAGTAAAATTGGAATGCGTAAATAGTATTTTATAAATTATGGTGCTTGGTGCCTGGATTTGTCAACTCACTTCAATAATAAAATGACTGCCTCATTTGGAGAGGCATTAGTAGTTGTAAGATGAATTCCTTTAGGCTTGACTTGAAAGCGTATCAAAGGAAACAGTAAATTTTCTATTCACTTATCATCAAGCATCCATAATTATCCATTGCTAATTTTGTTTCTAACCAAAAGGTCTTGCATTCAAGAGCTAGTATATTCTGGTGTGGGCACAAGTTTAAAAAATTCAAAAAATGAATGTTTCATGGTCCACTTGACAAGATATTTTGGATTGTATGTTGTCTCACCGCATCGTTTAAAAATGAAACGAATACCCATACATTGTAGGACACTTCAGCCGAATAGCGGAATATGAGCATTGTGAAAACTTTGTATATACGAATTCCCTCTATTCGGCTTCCAAAATTTTCTCTATTCAAATTACGTGTTTTATTATGGAGCATTTACAGACATGCCACTCAATTCCTCTTATTTACATATTTAACACCTAAAATTTGCCTTAAACATTTATATCACCCAAATCTTTTCTATCACATAAAAAACGCCACCATTTTAACTTTTAAAATATGGAATACATCTTTTCATGCATGTGTAAGGTATTTCTGAAAAAATTGAAGTTTAGGAGTTAGATATGTAAATGCATAGGAATTGAGTGGTATTTATGTTAATTTCATATTATATGTCCAGGAACCCCTGCTGCAAGAATGAAGAAAGTGCCGAGCTCACAAGTGAAGAATCGTAGTCGTGAATTGACATCCATTTTTGAATCTTTCAAGCCTTACAAAGAAATGGAAGGTCAGATTGTAAGAATATGGATAACAGATATCGCTTCTGATGGAGTCCATTTGGTTAGTAAAATAAACATCATATTTCAGAGAAAATTTCTTTACTTCGTATGAAATTTTTATGCTTACAAATTACTTCCTCAGTATTTTCCCAGAGTTTTTTGCTATTTGATTTCTACCAGGTGGGACATACCAAGGGCTATGTGCAAGTCTTAGTCATTGCTCCAGAGACCATGCTTGGCACCTCAGCAGAGGTAAAAATTACTTCAGTTGGAAGATGGTCTGTATTTGGGGAGTTTATCAAAAGTTCCACAGAGCTAAACCTTAGTGTTAGGCGAGCTCACCAAGCCGCGAAGTGCCCCGCCTGCAACTCTTGTGAAAATCTCTGTTCATGCTCAAGCGAGCCGGAATGTTACTCGGCCAACTCGAAAGCCAGCATAGAGGATATTAATCTGTGTCCGTGCTCGAGTGAGTCGGAATGTAACTCAACCAACACGAAAGAAGGTTCTGCAGGTATCGGTGCAGATCCCTCCGCTAAAAATGGGAGGGTGGGAACATTTATTAGTTCTATCAAACCTGTTTTACTGAGGAGAGTTAAACATTTATTAGTTCTATCAAACCTGTTTTACTGAGAAGGAGAGTTGGGGGATCAGAGGGGAATTACAGCATTAAGAAATCTGAAAGTGAAAGGGACGAAGCAGAAAGATGGATGGGATCTAATTTAAGTGTGATGGATGGTGTACTAATTGGTGCAGTTATTGTGAGTTTGGTAACAATTGTTTTGGTGTTGATTGGACTCTTTTCTCGTACGATGTGAGCATGATGCTGCTGCAGATTTTTTATGAGTTTTTTGGATTTAGGGCAAATCATTTTATGTTTTTGTCTGATGGATCCATGTTTAACTGATTATTTCCCATCATTTTTTAAATATTTTCTATCTTATTTTGGATATTAAGGGAATGTTTGGCTGCAAGTATGATTTAGTGTCAGTAAGATTTAGTAAAACTAAAAATTGTATGTCCATTAAAGTTATCCTCACCTTGGATTTGGTTAATCTGAATTTAAGCGGGACCGAACATGAAATTTCAAAAAAATTTTAAATTTGTGTAACTCCTGTATATTCATATGTGGTTAAACTTCGCAAATCTTATTCAAATGTGCTATCAAAAACTCTTCCCGATGATCAGTTTGGCATTATTTTAAAAATTTGATTGGGGCATTCACATACACATCCACTCGATAGAATATATGTTCGGGAGTTTTTAGATGTAAATTGCATGATTTAAGTGCACATACAACCACTGCATATCAATCATAATTGAACAAAAAAAAACACATAAAAATAAGCAAATTCTAAGAAATATTATGAATTCCAATAGGACTCCAGAAATGAATAAAACAGAAGATAGCTTTCACAAGCACAGCAGCACTTATGTACTAAAAATTAGGAGTTGAGCAACCACCTTTGGGTAGTTCCCATCTGATTCTACCAATTCATTATCTCTAACAAGTACCAGAAGAGGATAAAAAAAAGAAAAAAAAAAAAAAAAGAGGAATTACAATAAGAAAAATTCAAAATTCCATATCACCTAAAATTACATTTCAAATAAATTTAAAGGGTTATTAGATGAAAATCAGCCAACCATGGAAAATCTAAACTTCATCTTTCACTCCTCAAAATATTTTCCTTCACAGCTTGAAGACGAAAATCTGTAGCGAAACAACCAAAACTTCGTCCGAGCTAATCACATTTGATGTTTCTATAAATTCTTCGAACAAATAAAGATGAACCAAGAAAACCCACAGCACCTGCATCTCAACAAATATGTTTAGATAAATCATTTCGAAGCTAAATTGAATAAAGAAAGGGAAATACGTACCTAGCACACAATTCTTATCTATTTACATTATCTAAAATCTAAAATTTCATACGTCTAAAAAGTGGTGGTAGTTTTTTTTTTTTTTTATGTGACATGAAAAATTTGGGCGTTATGTGTGTAAATATGAAAATTTTCTAAAATCTAAAATTTCATACGTCTAAAAAGTGGTAGTAGTTTTTTTTTTTTTTATGTGACATGAAAGATTTGGGAGTTATGTGTGTAAATATGAAAATTAAAGTGTGAGGTATGTAAATACATTAGAATTGTGTGCTATGTAGGTAAATGCCCCAAAAAATAAGCAGATATTTCGAGAAAGTACCGCAGAGTATTCCGAGTCCGAGGTATGTAAATACATTAGAATTGTGTGCTATGTAGATAAATGCCCCAAAAAATAAGCAGATGTTTCGAGAAAGTACCGCAGAGTATTCCGAGTCCGAGACAAAACATGAGGGTGTAGCCAAAGTAGAAGCTGGTCTGGAAGAAACCTGACATTTTGGTCTTCACATAGAAGTAATAAATGGAGTAAAGATAGACATAAGCAGCTGTGGAAGCAGCAGAGAAGAATGAGGTCCACTGCCAATGATAGTTTTCTGCATTGAGAAGGAAATATGTGCCGACGATTGTGACACAGACAGCTACAATGTTGAGAATTAAGAATACCAGTAACATGAATCCATAGACATAGTAAACCTGCCAATAAGGATAGGCAAAGATATGATTTTAGTCATTTTAAGCTTATATATATATATATATAACAAATTTATTTTATGTCATTGAGCTGAGTATGGAGAATGACGTAAGTTAAAAAAACATAAAGTGGATTACTTAAATTGTTTAAGCTAAAGGAATTATGGATTGATAGAACTTAATAATATTCATATATGTTTGATAAGTAATATATGCAAATAATTGGATGGTCTATTGGTATTACTTATTGCCAAGTTAGTTATCCGGCTGAAAAAGTCCCAAAAGAGGACTATTGTGGCCCCTATTAAAAGAGATTGGGAACCAAATTGCCACTCTTATACTTTCTGATTAAAATGGCCATCTATAAAGAATAAAGGGACCATTCAACAATTTTCTCCAGACAAGATTATGGGTATAAATTCTCATTTGTTATTTATGCTTCCACAATAGCCAAAAAAGTTAACCACATAAACGATAAATAAGATCATGATCGGTCTTGAGTCTATTAGGTCAGGCTATTAAACTTTTTGTACAGTCAGAGTCATAGGCTAGCTTAAACCAATCAGTAGTCCTAGTCATAAGCAACCTAGAAAGCTAAAAACTCCCACTAAACAGGCAAATAGAAGATCAAAATGAAAGGCAATAAAAACTAAAGTATATATTTACATATTGCTTACCTTGTAATTCCAGAAGGATGTGAATACAAAATACATTTCAATGAAGATGCTGCCGAAAGGAAGTAAGCCGCCCATGAGCGAGACAATGAAGGGTGTGAGATACCACTTTTTCTCGGGGATAGGACGAGGTATGGTCTTCACACGGCAGGGGTTGCTAGGAACGCCACTCCAGTTCCTACCCACCACCGTCCCGAGAAGTGTGAGAGGAAATGAGATAAAGGCCCAAATTACAAAAACAACCACCATTGTTCCAAAAGGGATGGCCGCAAGTGATCGATAGAATATGGCAATTGTGTTGAGGACAAAACCAATTCCAAAGCACAAAAATGGGAAGAGGGATGCTGTGAGAATCATAGTTTTAATCCAGCTTTTACCTGAAAATGCAATCAGAAAAAATGGGTCTATAAGAAAGGTTATTATAATAAAACTTCCAAATGTTCGGCCTTTCTCGTAAAAAGTATAGTAGTCTTAAGGCTTGCAAATAAAAACAATAATTTTAGTCAATTTTATAAATAAGGTCAACCAAGCAAATATAAGCATATATGCCATAGCTTTAAAAAATCCAGGCATATATGGGGTTGATTTTCCTTATTTGCTAATAAGACAAAGTAGCATCCTCTTAAACAAAAAAAGATCAACAGCAAAGGAAAATTTATACAAATAATCCAAAGAAAAGAATTCCAATTACAATTTTTTGAAAAATTTAGAGCCATCAAATCTTTCATATGATCAAAAACATAAAAAATTTTAAATTTAATAAGTTATTTTAAAAATTACACAAATTAGATATGCATACCGCCATTCCGCGAATAAAGTCCACCACTGACATAGCCCGAAATGAATGAAGTGAAAGCATAGCATAATATAAAAGTAGTTTGAATAGATCCCCGCCTGTGCACATTTAAAACTGATTAATATTTCTACGACTTTGCATCAAAAAATGATGGAAAGCAAAACCCTGCATCCATTCAATTGATGAAATGGGAAAAACCAAAAAAAAAAAAAACAAATACAAACGAATTAATGGAAAAAATATAGGAGCTTGCATTAATCATAACAAACCTTCAAAATAACCACTGAAAACTATTCATGATTCACATATTAAAACATCAATGCGGGTAAAAATGCTGACACTTTATTAAGTGGGAAACAATATGTATATATATGTACATATGTATCGATATATATGTATATATGTATGTACCTATATGTATGCATACATAGATATATATCTGTGTATATATACAGATACTATATGTATGTATACATATATACATGATAATCACGATCATGTGCAATAGTTTTATAACAAGATAATACAATTATATAACATGTCAAACTGAAGCTGAAATTTATAATGTTTTGCAAATTTCACCTACCCAACATAAAGCATCCCAATTATTGCCAGTAAAATGACTAGGAGAACAAGCAACGCCAGCTGGGCACCCGTACCAACTACAGCTGAAAGAAGAGCCAAATTGCGGACAGGCCTGAAAACATCACCATGAATAAGCTTCCAACCAGACTCCTCGCTCACATCTCTTTCCTAACAAACATCAAAGCATAAAAATATAAAAGCGCTAGCATTAAAGACTTTCTTCACATTTGCATATTGTCAGAAAAATCCAAACCAATAAAGGATGAGGTTAAAGAAGTAAAGGCTTTGAATATTAATCAATTTTATGAAAAAATTAAATAAAATCATAAAACCAATGGCCATTACTGTATGTGGTAGGAGCATAACTACGATTTTTTGTGGTTATAAACTAGAAAATTAAAATTTTAAGATGTGTATAATCACCAGAGTCTCCAAATCATCATCTTCACGTGCATATTTGGCGTAATCATTTCTAAGAGTCCGCATGAGTATCATAGAAACCAGGCCAGTGAGGAAAATAACCATCATAAAGGAGTTGAAAATAGAAAACCAGTGGATCTGCAAAAGAGCACATCTGTTAACAATTTTGAGTCCAACAAGCCAAATTCTATTGCTGAATGGATAAACTTTAAAGAGCACTCCAACTAATGAATGATCTTATGTAGATTAATAAAATTTACAAAAAAATCAAAATTACCAAAAGAAAAATAATGATTTCACTGAATTTGAAGAAGTGTCATAGAAGCTAATAGGAGAAACATATTATCCTCCAGATTCAAGGAGCTAATCAAAAGCCATATTATTTAATATAAGTTTCGTAAATCTATTTAACTGACTTCAATAAACAACTAAAACTAATATCAGTAAATAAAAATAATAGCTACACCTAGTAATGAAATACCTGGTGTTCAAAGAAAGGGTAATCCAAGTATACATCAAAACGATGAGCAAATGTTACATTCGTTGCTATCCATTTGACTGAATATGTCATCTCCAATGTCTTTCCAGGTTCCAATAGTTTAGGGATTTCTTGGGTGATATTAACATGAATAATCTGCAAGAACGAGATACTAAAATAATTTTAGAAGTCCAAGTACCAACGGAAAAGCTATCTATAGGATTTTGCAAAACAATACCTGGTCTCCATTGTATCTCACAAGGATATTCTTGTGTGTGAAAAGATAATGCTTGTTCTCATCAGTTTTTCCAGTCTCTCCCACAAATGCTAGTATATCATGCAATGTATTTGGAAATAAGTATGAATTCAATAGTATGACTAATTTGCAAAAACAACTGAGTTTCAATGCATACCCCATAGAGGCAAGTCATCTAAGCCGGCGTACCCAAGAAAGCAATAGAATCGAGCAAAAAGTTAATATGCGGCTAAATAAACATCAATATACAAACAAATGGAAAAATAAGATCATAACAGATGCCATACCTATGAAAAATTCAAACCAATATGAAGTCTCTATTGCATCCTTAAAAATATTCACCTTAACATCATCGAGTTCAAGAGAACAAATGGACCCTTTTTCAATATTTTCTGATAAGACAAAAAAAAAAAAAGATTTCATTATATACTTTAATCAATTCCATAGCAAGATAATCAATCTCATACTATGCTGACTTAGAAATACATCATGACCAAATGTATGGCTGAAATGATGATCTTTTGATATGGGTAATAGATTCTCAGGAAAAATAATTGGAACGAAAAACACTTACTCCGGAACTTTAATTCAATCTGGCTATCAATCAGTTCATTTCCACCCAAAACTTCTCCAAGCCCACCCCACTTATGAGGAGGGTTCTCTCTAGGCTGGCAAAATGGAAGGCTATAATAGTTATATGTTTCTTGCGGGTTGTTATAAGGACCAACTTTGTTTACCCATAGTGTAACAGGATCATCAGGTTGATACTGCAAATAAAAAAGAAGAAAGGGAAAGGTTTTATCTCATTACTGATAGAAAATTCATAGCGTAAGTCTGTAATTTGTGAAATTAATCTCAATATACTCCAAGGAATGAATAAGAACTCTCGGACTAGATATCATCTTTTATATCCAAGTTAGGCTATCAACCTCAAGCCAAGTAAGTATGATACATAGATTCTTTACTATGATAGTTTTTACTACTTCAATTTGGTTGAAAGGTGTGCATAATAAAAAATCCAACCAACGCAAGCCTGAATCCAATGATTAAAATTGCCTTGTAAACAGTAATGCCGACTATAAGGTAATTTCTGCTCATTAAAATTTAAGATTTGTGGTTTAGTAAATGAAGTGAACAAAAATAATAATAAATAATGGTTCAAGTATCAAGAAAAGAAAAGCCTGCAACAGAAAACTCAATCGAGAGAAATGCTCAATCCTTTCAAGCATATATGACTAATAGACTTCAGCAAGATATAGGACCAAAAAATAAAATGAAAATTTTTTATAAAAAAAAAACTGTTAATGTTAAAATAAGTGCATTAAGATCCAAAACAGTGAGGTGCAGATATAGTCACTAGAAATGCTCTACGTACAAACAGCATCAGTATTTGAGAACAGGTAGACACTAAAAGCTGAAATGAGTGAAAGGATAGTAATCGCAGCAAAAAATTATATATATATATATATGTGTGGTTGTCAAAACGGCTCGTTGTTCGCGAACAGCTCGTGTTCGGCTCGTTCGCTAAGTTAACTCATGTTAAGATTTGTTCGTTTATGCTCGGCTCGTTTTGGCTCGAAATACTACTCATTAATTATATCTATATCTATATCTATATACATACATATATATACATACATATATACATACATATACATACATACATACATATATACATACATATA